TTTAACAAAAGATGACCATTCGAACGAACACTCTTTGGCCACTTTTCTGGGTTCTCAGGCCACATTGCTACATGGTTATAAAGGTAATACGTCAAGTGATTCTGGATGAGGTCTTTGCCAGAGACGCGCAGATCAACCGGATACCAGTAGTCGAACTCGCGACGAAGCCGGTCTAGCTTCGACTTTGGGATATCCGTGTGCAAGCATTCATACGGTTCCCGTTTCAGAAACACATAATCCCACATCTCTGGAGTCATTTGATCAGGACTAAAACAAAAAATTTCCTGAGTAATAACAACTCACTGACAAAGCGTACTTTGCTGCTCTCTTTAAGAATTTTAAAAACAGTGACTGTCGTAAAGTGCTAAGGTTTAATTGTATACGTAAGTTAAAATAACATATTGCTTAAGGTCCACATTAAAGAAACCAGGCAAAAGATTATTTGGCATAGCAAATCCCCCGTCTTAAGAGACGCAGTGTGCACGCTGAGTAGCAAAAATGAGTTTTCAGATATCCATAATTAAGATAAACTCAAGTATCCAAAATCCTTCACAGATATAACGTTAAAACAATAATAACATTAACTATGATGGGTCAATGAACCATTCCATCAACATGAATTACTTATGCTACCCGCTGTATATTTAAGAGTATATTCCTGTGGACCTTCATATCACTCCAAGTATGGACTGAAATAAGTAGTGGTGCAATGAATTCCTTATCACAACCACCGTTTTACACAATTTCTTGCCACCAAGTTGTGGTGGTCTTCAGTAACCAAGCAATCCCCATCACGGAGTAGAGTAAAACGGTCATTCTGGTTGGGCAGGCAATCCTTGAACAGAGTATGAAAAAACATAGTACCACTGCAAGGCAAACACGAGACAAGTTATGCATGACCCTGGCTTCCGCATCTATGTGATGTACGATATCGTGAAGCCGTTGATTTACTTCCAACCGCTGCCCTACACAAATGTTCAAAGGTTTTTTTCAGAGTGATAAACCGATTCAAGGGCGTAACGAGAAAACGTGGAATTAATCGTGAGGCATACATAAACACAAAAAATTACTGCCAGTGACACTGAAAAACTAATGATTTTATTTAAGCACGCTAGAAACATACGCTAATTCTAAATGGAAATGAGGTTGGCAATTCATAACTCTAAGCATTTGGAGCACCAAATCGTTAAAATATACAAAGATATTTTGTCAGGCAGATTGTTCATTAAGCAGCTGGCAGAGAGGCCAGTCCTTGAGGCAGTCTTCCGTTGACAGTATATGGGAAGTATCTTGATGAAGTAGCAAAGAAAGTTCGTTCTTTACTTATATTACTCAACAGGGATAGAAAAGACAGTAAATAAACTAGATTATGGACCGCGCGTTTAAAAACCTACCTATAGAGATGATGCAATGCCTGTAACGTTCATAAGCATTATAATAAATAGGTGTTCACAAAAGAAGAGTGTCAAACGAGGGCGGTCACCGCTTACCGAATGCCCAGAGGTCCGATTTTGCTGCCGTTGATGACTCCACCCTGCAAAAGGTGAGCAACGGTGTAAAATGCCATGTAAATCGTCGAATCAGACAACGATTCGATGAGGTACTTCTTGTCCCATGGAAGGCGTGACCCTAAACATATCAGCACCCGTTACTGCAACTGTCAAAAATCTCAACTTTGACTAATTTCTCACCGAGGCCATACAAACGACAACACGCGTGTTCGTGCAGCCAGTCCACAGTATAAGCTAAGCTACTGCGCACCTCGCTTGAATAAGTGTCCAGGTTTTCCAGCGCCTTAGACGTTGCCTTTTTCCACTCTTCGTCTTCATACTTTAGGTACCTTCAATGGTGATTTGAGAAGGGCATAAAGTTTTAATCAGAAAACGCAAGCGAAATTTCATACCACTGGTCACACAATGCGACAACACATTCATCGGCTGACCTAGATATGACCTCTTTCTCTGGTTCGTAATAGCGAATCGCCACACCCTTTAATGAAAGATATCAGCATATAAAATAAGCACATTAAGTTAAACATTTGAATATTTCAACTCCTTCATCTTTAACCATTATATCGAACACAAATGTGGATATTAAAGCTTCAATACAAACGAGAAGCTGCAATTCGGACAGAAAAAGTGGCATTAAAAATTTAACATCATATCTACATGTAATATAATGAATCGAGATGAGCATGTTCAATTATTAACTGAGCATATGATCAAAAAATGTTGCAGTACAGTTAACTGGAAATCTATACGAAGTTAAAACTAGCATCCTCAAATGACTAGTTTAAAAATCATACTATCAACTTTGTTTAGGCAGTCCATCATGAGGTGATTTGCGTATTTTCGTATCATGTAGCAAGAAGCAAAAATGAAAAGACGTTGAACAGTTGTTGATCAGCTGTTCATCAGAGATTTTGTGCGTGGTTATCTACTCAATCAATCAAGATGAAGCAGAGAATAAAGCAGGCAAACTGCTTAATTATTTACTTCGTCATAAAAAGGTGTTTCCATTATTTGTACTGGTATCCAGTACTTTCATAGCCAGAAGCACATTCCCACGAAAAGATTTTTAAAGTTCTGCTTAAGTCAATACTGATTCAGCATCTTGAGAACAACATCCATTAGAAAGTTGTTGATCATATTGATCGAGGTACTGAAATGAGTAAAACAAGGTGGTGTGGGTGTAGGAGATCCATGCTGACAATAATACAGCCGCGGTTTAGGGGAATGATGACGAATATACCAAGTTCGACAATGCTTCAATTCAGATCTTACACATTTTCGCCATCGCATCGACCTAGTTCTCATTCCGTCTTACTCATAAGCCTTCGTTCTCCGTTCAGAAGATAGGCGGTATGATCAAATGGTCTTCTGGAATCATGACTCCCAACCATTTCTTCTAGATTTTGGAGTTGAGTCTCTTTATCTTAGGCCGAAAGATCGCAAAGGAAACAAAAGAAACTGGTCGACCTCGTCTGTGTTCAGGATATGTCTTTACGACTACCGTAGCAGCTCATAATAAACACTTGATATTTTCTTGATTTTGACGTAGAGCCCCGTAGTAGCTGTTTTACAAACTCTTGTAGAATGCGATTCAACCAATAGCAAACAAACAAAAAATATTGCAGGCAGTGAAGAAAACTAGCTTCAGTCATCTAAAAAAACTTTTAGCTTACACAGTCAATCAGCTGCTTTTGAATGAGCTTTTTCACATCCTGAACCTTCTTTCCCACAAATTCACCAACTAGCATCACCTAAAAGGAGTAAACAGGTCAAGTAAAAAATCACAACGGAAACGGCCGTTTTCACTTTAGCCCTTGCTTTCCCTTACTCCGTCATAAAATCCCTTCAGGTAGATTTTCTCTTTCGCGACTTGTAGCTTCTCCTGATCGTTCTGACTGGTGATCTTCAACTCCTCACAAACAGTCACCGCTGAAACAGTGCCAAATCCGGGTACTTCCAATATTGATATCTACAAGTTACAGTTAAATATCTGAAAGTGAAAACAAAGCACTGCGCTATCACCGGATTAAAGGGCAAAACCATGCTGTCAGCGATGCCATACTTTTCGCGGAGAGCCTAGAAACTGAATGATTAAAGAAGCAATGAAATACAGAGAAAAGAAAGAACAGAGCTGTTAAAGTTAGAATACTATATTAAAGCAAATTTTTTAAGAGCACTTTGGACTGCAAGTCCGTACTGAAGAATGAGGGCCTATCCTCGGTTTCAATCGCTGTTTGTCTGACTGCCCCATCAGATACCTCCAATTAGTAAGTCTGATGGTGAGGAAGTACTTCCTGAGAAAAAATCAAAACATTCATGACTCCCTTTTGCTTGCCTGTTAAATATTTTTTAATGCGTGCAAAGGGTGAATGCAACTGCTAAATGCTCTTCATTCAGTTATGGCGTAAAGAAGTAGATGTAATCGGTAAATGCCAATTAAAACAGTACGAATAAACGAAGTGACCAGCACTAAGCAGATAGATCGCAAACGCACTGCATTATTAGAAATATGTAATCAGAAGACAGCCAAGGAAAAAATGGAAGACGGAGAGCAGAGGCAACGTAAGGGTGATATGCCTATGAGTAAACAACAGAAACTTCGTTAAAACTAGAGAGACAATAACAGAAGACTATTATCGGCGGTCACTGGTGGCTGATTAAAGCGAAACAGGAAGAAAGTGAAGCTCAGGTAGATGAGGAAATTAAAACATACGCGGCTATTTTAGCACTCCTCTCCACACCCACTTGACAGCAAATACGTATCTTCATTAAAAATTGAACAGTTTGCATTGAAATGATCAAAAATAAAGAACACACGATTTCACTTGTCAAAGGACTGACCTGCCATCCACAACCCGCGCGTGCAATCTATGTTTTTATTACCAGTATCTGATATATACCAGCCAGATGTCAGAGAATACTGATCACGTAATCAGTAGCCAAACTTACGAATGCAACTATCGAAGCAAGCTAACTGGAAGAAGCTAAAATACAATCACTGGTATGAAGCTGCAATGCAAGAGTTCCTTGTTATTGTTGATCATTTGGTTAAAAAACGAAGATCCAGAAACTTGCTGTACCCACTCAGGATAAGTAACAAAATAATATCTTGAAACTAGAAAGCTCAACAGACACTAAATCACGAAATTTCAACGTCAGTGCCAGGGAAAATACTCAATAGGTATGTTTTCTCGATTTACACTGCATCATCATACCACACTTCCTTACAGAAGCCTAGACAACATGCTTCCTATCTTGAAACTGGAAAGCTCAACAGACACGATATCACGAAACTTCAATAGCAGTGCCAGGGAAAATATTCAGTAGGCATATTCTCTGAATTTACATGGCATAATCTTACTACCCTTTGCTTACAGAAGCTTAGACAGCTGTTTATGCAACCCTGCAAGACACTGACGTAAAACATATATATGGAAATCAGAAGAATTTTTAAAGTGCGTCAAAGACTTTAATAGGACGCAGATTCAGATAACAAATTATCCGTCATTAGAGCACAAGAGGATACTCAATGAAAAGGAAGCAAAAATTACTAGTTCAACTAACTTTTTTCCTTTTTAAGTCCTGCAACGCCACATAGTCGTCTGGGGCATCCGATGGGACACTGGTGACAATTCCGGTTCCTTTATTGTAATGGACGTTCATCATCGGTAGAACGTAGACAGAGTCATATGGCGTCAAACACGTCTTCACTCTGGCTCCAATTAAATCCTTAAACGATTCATGACACCCTCAATATATTGGACTGCATGGAAACAAAACGTTTACTGGCACAGGGATTTAGTTTATTGCGAAGAATCACAGTATCACCTTTCCCTGCAGTTCAACTAAAATATTGATCTCATTGCCAGGCAGCAGATCTTGAAACAGCATGTTTCTGGCCGCCCTTCGCGTGCACACAAAAACTTCGTCGCCGTTTTTTCCAGCAGAAAACGCAACGTATCTAGTTTAATCAAAACTGATTGATTTAAAAAATATATATGAGTAGTAACTGTGAGCAATACCTAATTTCTGGACCGACCCAGCAATTAGTCTGTCCGTACATCGTTTCTGGTCTCAGGGTGGCAGCGACAAGAAACACTGAATGTGACTGGCAAAGGCTGCTATAAAAAACGATAGTGAATAACACAGAGTAACATGTCAAAAGGCTACTTCAACGCAACAGGATAAGGTTGCAAAATGCGTAGCTTAATTCCGGTGTATTCCTGGGGTTCTACGCCCTGAAATTAGCAAATATTATGCAATTTTCAATCAGTGCAACTATAAGACAGGTGCGTTTTGTTTGGCAGCAAGTAACTTTCGAGAACAACTGGGCAATTTTACAAAGAAAGTTCAAATGGAATCTAGACACTAGATATAATTAACGCTTAACCAATACTTCTTGAATTTATGCACGAATTTTTCTTTTATGGCTTAAGCATTTTAAGAAAATTCAGGAAGTGTCTGATAACTGTCCGATCTTATGTGTGCGCGTGATAATCACTTTGCGCAGATGGCATAATCAGAACGTTTACAGTTTGTGATCCCTGTCTTAGAGCTTTACAACTGTCGCCATAAGGCACCGCGGAGGGAAATTTTCCTCTCTAAAAGTAAATCTGCTCTTACTTCTTTCCTCCACGTTGCGTGCGGGCGCCTCGGCGACATCTGCTTGTGTTTTGGCTGCTACACGAGAATTTCATGGGCCGAAATAAACCCTGCAGGTTCCACAATCCGGCAGGGCCAACCTCTTTATTTTACTGTCCTACCCTAAAGCGCACGGTATCTGTACACGTTCGTTACGTGGTCCTGCCATTCAACTCTCGCTGTGTGTCGAGACCAACGTTGTTGTAGGTAGTTCAACCGTCGTTCTTGGTCCATCGTCAAAACAACTGCTTTCATACAACACCAACCAGACTGAGGAAAGGTACAAGCGGATTTTGGTGAAAACGGTTATTCATTCCTCAGCCAAAATATTTGACAGGTTATTAAAATCACTGGAGACAAGGGCAATCCTTCTATTTAACTCTGATTGAATCATGATATCGCTTAAGATGATTGCGCACAGGTAATTAAATTATTCGACTTCATCTATGACTTCTCTTTCCTGCTCCACTAGTAGATCAACTGTGCCATAT